ACTGAGACTAGGGACTTTAGAAGAGGTCCCACCACCTCTTCACACTGTCACATTGCAAACCAAACTTCTACTTCATGAACCCTTGGGGACACACTCAAACTACATTGATAGCAGTATCCACAAAACTTCTTTGGATGTAAGCAAGCAGCTAGAGAAAAGGTCCATTTCTATTTAACTAACTCAAGGTAATTGTTCCTCAAAATTGTAAGACCTAGAAACAATCAGGAACCCCTGGGAGACATCTGAAGACATCTTTCTGGTATCTATCATGCAATCACATGAAGGGTGAGGCTCGCAGCTGTGGAGGATAGGGCTATTACATACAGCTGAAAATTACTGTTGAGGACCAGAGGCTGACTGTGGACTGCCTAAAGCTGGGTACCCATTCTGGTCAGGCCCTCCTCTCTCTGGGACATTATCTCTTCGTTTTGTTTGGGTTTGGCTCCCTTGGCCTGCATACTTTTGGGAGATCTCACTGATAAAAGACACAGACAAGCCAGGTGTGGTGGTGCATGCCTGTAATCCTAGCACTCAGGAGGCTGAGGCAGGAGGACTGCCGAAAGTCTGAGGCCAGTCTGGGCTCTAGAGCGAGACTCTGTCTCAAAAAACCAAAAAAAGACAGACATCTTTCCTGCCCCCCATCCATACAACGGAAGCATGATTACCAGGCCTCTAGCAAAGGACCCTACACTATACTATTTCTGATTTGATTGGCCCACATCATTATTTTTCATTTTTATGATGCCCAATGGGGTGGGAAGTGTCCAGATCGCTGTCCTACACAGAAAAAGGCTCAGACAGGTAAGTGGCAGCTATGGCCCAACCCCGAGCTGTGTGTCTCTGAAGCCAGCGTTCTCCTGTCTGATGAGGACACACGTGGTGAGCCTCACTCCAAACCTTCCATGGTACTTCACGTGGTTGCAGCAACTGCCTGATAGCTTGAAGGTCACCACATACCTGTAAGGCCACCTGTATTTTGGGGGTGGGAGGTGGGATCACAGTGTCTCACAGTTCCACCCCTCACACCCTCAGCTTTGGAAACCCAAGGCAGATGTCCAATAGGGGGTCTCATTCCACATCAAATACAAGTATGGTGATACTCTGCATAACAACCTTCTGGTCAATGGCAGGCCACACACATTACAGTGGTCTCATCATACTGACTAAACATGGTGTTCACACAAAGACATTGCCTCACGATGCGTTTCTCGAGACTCATTCTATCATTAATGATGTGTGACTGTAAGCACGTAACACAGAGGTAATGTCCTTCCACTCAGTGGCCACATTCCTTTGCTTGTCTTCCTCTCTCCTCAACTCTCTTACCATTGCTGGTAAGGAGAAGCTAAATGACTATAATCTTAAAATGTACCTTTAGTCACTGCTCATTAAATTGGACAATTTGCTGTTAAACATATACTTCTAGTGTTTTCCACATGATGCTCTTCCAAGGGTGTGGCAAACATGGCCAGAGCCTGTCCCCGTCCACTTTCCCATGCCCAGGTCTCCTTTATACCACTGTTGTCCCAGAGGAAGGACTCCCTGACCCTGGAGAGTATAGTTTATCTATTACCATGCCTCCAAGGAAGGCCAGAATTCCTGGCAGGAAAACAAATGGCAAGGTTGTCTCTTCCAGTTTCTTTTTATAGAAATGAGAGACAGTGACAATTCCAGCGTCGGGCTGAAGCACAGAGGCTCATCTTGGGAGGAGTGTGGCTAGAGCATGGCTGGCTGCCAGTATGGAAAGCAGAAAGGCAGAGGGGTGACAGGCGGCGGAGAAGAGCCTGGTGTATGCAGAGGCTCACATCCGCCAGGTAGAGGCCAAACAGATCAAGTATGGGCAGCTCTGACCCTTTCTCTCCTTGTTTTTTGTCTGAAAAAATGAAGCAATAACATCCCTGCGCCTCTGAGATTCATGATGGTGTCACTGTAAGAACTAAGGACTTGGCAGAAAGTGTATATATGTGGACTACTAAAGAGCGCCTTCTCATCTATGTGTAAACGGGGATGTTTCCAATTTCTAGGTTCTCGAGAACCACGAATGCCACTCCATCTTTCTCAAGCTTAGGATGAGACCCAGCCCAAAGTACAGAATCGAGGTGATTTATTTCCATAATAAAAAAAGTACTTTGGAAAATGTCTTTGTTTTTCAAAAATACAGATACAACTAGTGAAAGTATCTGTGACAGCTGTGAAAACATTCAACTGCCAATGAAGGCATTTTCTCTCCACCACAACTGTTCAGTGCAGGGCACGGTTTATTTTCCTCTCCACTAAGCTTCCAAACAGAAAATTATGGGCTCTAATATACAGAATAGGGGCTGGGGACGGGGCTGGCTTAAGGTTAGAGGACTTACCTAGAAAGGTCTTGGTTCAATCCTCAATACCACAAAAATAAAAAATTTAAAAATTAAGTTTAAAATATTGTTCTTGAATTTTCTTGAGTAGGCTGCCACCATGTGGTGGTGACTAAAAATGCACATAGGTTCCAGCTCACATTCCTGAGTTGTCTTAAAATAAGCATTGTACCCTTTAAATCCAATAGCCATGCACGCATTGCAAGTCTCAGTCCAGATTCTTGCACTCCTCAGCAGGGCCACAACATGCTCCTCACTAACATTCTCTCACAGCAACTTGGGGAACATGAGTTTTAGATCTTGTTCTCTGTATAGTAGTCCCCCACTTTACAATCAGATACATTCCAAGACTCCCCATGGATGCCTGATACCAGATAGTACTGAACCCTAAATGTACTAATTATTCATACACATATACACTTGTGATCAACTTCCACCTTTTCATTTAAAGGGAGCAGTGCGTAGCTTCTTTGGCATATCTGATTTGCCAGTATCACAATTACTCTTTGGAGCCGTCATAAAGCAAAATAAAGGTGAGCTGAACACAGCACTGGGACGCAGCCACCCTCAATCTGATAGCCAGGAAGGCTACTCAGTGGCACTGGGTGAGTGGACACACTAGAGAACGGGGTGATTTGCATCTTGCCTAAAATCTCGTCGCATCACTCAGAACAGCATGAAATTTAAAATTTACAAATTGCTTATTTGGGAATTTTCTATTTCTATTTATTAAGATCCTGGTTGACCCCATATAACTGAAAGCATGGAAAGGGAAGCTGCAAACAGGAACAAGCTACTGTAATTTATCATACTGAAGGTGCACATTTTATTTAACTTCACTTTGCTTGAGACGTGTGACTTGCACTGTGATTTTCTGAAGTGGAAAACTGCATGAACTATTTCAAATGTGAAAATATAAAAGAACAATATAACACACCTGGACGTCCATTGCCCAGTTTAAGACAAAAGACACAAGGCTCCACACCTCCTGATCGTAAATCCCATAAGCTGCAGACCAACACTTTAAGATAATGAACTCCAATGTTAGAAAATAACTCAAAAAAGCTTTAAAGGTATAAGGCTTGGGGATTTACCTCAGTAGTAGAGAGAGCACTTGCCTAAAAAGCACAAGATCCCAGGTTTGATCCCCAGTACCATAAAGAAAAACCTTTTAAAATAACCTTAAATTATTTACAAAAATTTGTGTATCAATGATTGCCCCAAAGTCAAAATTAGTTCCTTATTTTCCCTTAGGTTTCTAAAATACTTTTCTTTCTCAATTGCAGGTGGTCAACTCCTTCCAAAACTGTTTTGATCTAGGATATCACCCTTGCTAAGTTACAGTATGTATTAATTGAAGTGATGATAGTTTGCTATTTTATGCATCCTTGTTTCACACTTTAGATGTTCAGGAGTAGCAATGCTTTATTTCTCCTTTGTAAGCTATTATTTCATTAGCAGTCACTCAAGCCAATAACCTGAAAAAGTCAAACAAAAATGTGGGACATTTTCTCTTCCATAAGTACAAATATAAAATACAACACATTAAGTATTAAAATGAAATTTAAGAAAGTAGGGGAGGGAAAAGACACAAGTAATGAAAAGACCAACTGTTAATATTCATTGTGCCCATACGACAAGGGGCAGTCTGCTAAGTGCTTCCCATGGACCTGAGTTATTGTAAGTCACAAGGGCCTTCATTGCAGTGACAGCTAAATAAAGGTCTTACAGGAGGTTCACCTTGAGTTAATGGCCAACCTACACCTGGTACCCAGGATGTGGTTCACAAAGAAAGGAGAAAGCAAGACAGAATAGATGCTGAGATGGAGATCAAGAAAAGTGAAAGGAGGAGGATAAGAGTCCTCGGAGGAGGAAGGAAACGTACAGGGCCTGGCCCACTCTCCTCCCTTCCCAGTCAGACACTACCCCCTCCCAGGGTTCTACGTGATCCACCTGCCTAAGTTACAAAGAAAATAAAAAGTAAGTTTGCTATTATAAAAAAGCATGAAGGTTCTTGGGTCTCCCTGCATTCCATCCCCACCTACATTTTGTTCAAATACACATTTTATTGATTGTATAGCCAGTAGACTGATTAACTATCTTAAATGGATTTGTTTATGGTTTTATCTAAATCCACATGGTAAGTTGACAGGTTTCAAGGAAAGTCTTCATTTCTTACCAATTTTCAAATTTACAAGAATAATTTACACATATTTCTTTATAAAAAAATTATTTCTGTGAGCATGTCTCTTTGTTCATCCCTATTCTTGTTGGTGTTCTCTTTTGTATTATTTTGGCTAGTAGTGTGTTTATTTTACCGGTCTTTTCCAGGAACCAACCTTTGGATTTGTTGAGAATTGTTCACACATATTTGCTTTCTAACTCATTAATATCTGCATTCTATTTTATTTTATTTTTTTGGTACTGGGGATCGAACTCGGGTCCTTGTGCTTGCGCAGCAGGCGGTGAAATCACTGAACTAAATCCCTGGTCAATATCTGCATTTTATTATTTTCCTCCTTTTAGATTTTCTGTTGTTCTTTCTCTAACATCTTAAGTTAAATCTTTAGCTTATACATTTCTGGTCTTCCTTCATTTCTAATATAAGTGCTCAAGGTTGTGTGTTTCCCACAGAAACTTTACCTTGCTTTGAAGCTGAGGTGTTTTCCACTGGGAGTTCATTGTCATGGACCCTCTTCTCTGGAACAGGCACTGCAGGGCAGCGTCCAAAGACCCATGAGCTCCCACTACCAAGATCTTCTTTCCATCCAAACTGGCACCTAGCAACCAAATGAACATTCAATATTACAATCAAAATTTTGGGTCCTTCCTCTCATTCAGTTTTAATGTAATAAAAATACCCTTTTCAGACTTGACCTTTGCAGCAACAACCTATAGTGGCTCTCAGCTGGGACTGGGGTACTGTAATGAACCATAATTCTCTTTTCAAATCTTTGAGTTCCAATCTTTTTCCTGAGTTTCTTTCTACAACACACTATGATGCATACTGATGAAGTGGCTCAAAACCATGGTCTTGATAATAGAAACACTCTATATATGGATTATCTCCGAGATTTTAGCTGAATGGTTACTATACAAAGAGTATTCCTGAAAGTTAATCTTTTCATAAAATGTTGCTATTCTTAAAGTTTTTGTTTATTGCATATGCAGGCAGAGAGAAGGGGCATTTGTCTCTTTTCTATGCAAATTGAGTAGAAAAATATTATAGTTAATTGAACTTTTATGCCATCATCTAGAAAGCCCTTAAATACACGCAATACTCAGTACTCATTTATTCATTAAATTTAATAAGCAAGAAAGAGAAATTTTCATACATTTCTATTTCACTGGTATGAAAATGCAAGGTCAAAAGGAGAAGGGTGGAAAGTGATTAGTGACAAACGAAAAAAGATTCTGCTTATTGATAAACACCAATCTAGGTGTTTGTGTTCTATACAACATCTAACAGCATCTTCTTTTCAGTCTAAAATGTAAAGTCTTATCTAGAAACTACATAGTGACAGATTTGAGAAGTTGAAACTGGAAACATTTTTCGCTGTGGTTATTATGACTTTCATGGGAGAAATTGAGAATGTTTAAAACAGGCTGACATTCATCTTTACCAATTTCTCTTTTAAATTATAATAGTCCATATTACTAAAAAGTTTCCAATAAATCATTTGTTATCTCTCATAAGAAAACTTGAGAAAAAGAGTCTACATTTCAATATCGCTTCTGTGCTTTAATTAGAATCTTCCAGAAACAAATCTTTATTTTAAAAAGGACATAAATATCAATAAATAGACAACAGCATTTGCAAAGCAGCACCATACCTGATTTTTCAAGAAGTTCAATTACAGCTCTGGCAACAGGTGAAACAAAACATTCGTGGGCATCCCCCCGCACCAGCTTTCCCAGGTTTACATCTGTCACTCTGAATCAGAAAATAGGGGAGCAAGTCAGAGAAAACCTAGTCAAAAACCACTCAATAGTAATTCATATGTAGTAACCCTAAAGAATGTCCAAGTCAATGTTTGAGTGATAGGTAGACTATATTAAAGAAGAATCAAAGAGTAAGCAGGAAGTAAATGCCATTAGCTTCTGAGAGTAGGCCCTCAATAAACTTTACTCTGGTCCCTACTATGGGTGTGCTGGTTCTAGCACACACTAGGGCCAGCCCAAGGCCCCTTGGGCTTTACGTCAAACTCCAGGGAGCTCCCACAATGGACTGCAATGGAAAGGCACAGTTGTAACCATGCAGTCTGCTTATAAAACCTGGAACTTAGCCTGCAAATCTGGAGTGACCTAGAAAAACTTGGGGTTCACAGGTCAGAACCCCACTTGACCTTATTATGTATCTTCTGGGGAAATCAAGGGGAAGAAACTGAGTGACCACATACTTTGGATGGGCTCTGTGCCTTTCCTTGTTCAAATACAGCACAAAACACTCCATAACTGTGTAGCCTAAAGTGATGGTCTCTGTCTAGATTGGTAATAAAATAAAGACATTTAGAAAAGTCTTCAATATTTCTCTCCTTTTATGAAAGATATAAAGCTATAACTTTATATGTTCAGGTTCTGGATGTGATCTCATTGATTAAGGCTTCTCTCATTATAGTGAGTCTACTATAGGATTGGAGATTTTCGCCAACTTTTTTGTCTGTGCAGTGCTACAGGCTGAACTGAGGGCCTGGTACATGCTAAGCACACACTCTACTATAAACTATATTGCCAGTTCTAATGACATTTTTTTTTTTTTTTTTTTGTACCGGAGATCAAACTCAGGTCCTTGCATTTGCAAGGCAGGCGGTGGCACCACTGAGCTAAATCCCCGGCCCTTGTGACAACTTTTTAACCTGCACTTGGGACTACCAAGGTATAATAAAAGAATGGGATAGAAGAAGACTGGAGGTCTCAGTCTGAGACTGCAGCTTCTCAATCCAATCCTTGAAGGATATACCAGATCAGAGTCATTACAAATTTTCTTACAACTATATAATCCCAAATATATTTGTGTTCCTTTTAGCCACAGTACAAAATACTCCTATATTTCCATGTAGGAAAATGGTTTTTGTTTTGTTTTGTTTGTTTTTTTGAGACAGGGTCTTGTTATGTAGTTCAGGCTGGCCTTGAACTCACTATGAGTCCAGGCAGGCCTTGAACTAGAGGTGATCCTCCTGCCTCAGCCTCTCAAGTGATGGGATTATAAGCGTGTGCTACCATGCCCAGGAGAAAATAGGGTTTTTAATCCCCAGAAAACATGCTGATGACTCATTAGACAGAGCACTTGGTATTTATGATCTTTCCCCATCCCTGCCTCAAATTTCAAATAAAGCCTTGTGTCATTAATAAGAGTATTTTCTTGGTTTTACTCAACTGGCCTGGAAATAAAGCAGAACATGGTACTGTTAGGGAAAACAGGTCTCAGGTTTTTCTGGTCTGGTAAAATTACCAAGGAAAAACTACTAGAAAAGGAAAGTTGGCCAAAGACTGTTAAGACAGGAACTTGTTAAATGCATGTGATGGTGTAGTAAGATTTTTTTACAAAATGGCACCCAACCACTAAAAAAGGGCTCATGTATTTTCCAAGATAGCAACTCCCATACACAGAATTTTAAAAGTTCTCAAACCCCTGAAATATTTAAAATGACTTGTTTCATCTCCTAATTATTAACATATTGAAAAAAACAGAAAGAATTTAGGAAAAAAAAACACAGTAGAAACAGTGATCTTGTAATAAAGGTTGATTGATTTCTTTCATATTTTCTTACCCATCCACATCTTTTTCTGGATTCAAGGCATTGAGCACTTTGCTGCTAAACAAGTCCTCAGAGATCTGAAGGGCAAGGCCATGTACTCTGGTATCTTCATTCATCTTCAAAATTTCATCTATAATCTACAGTGGAAAATAGGTCATACAAAAGCTTTCTCTTAAAAACTAGATTCATAAAAATGCATCTGCTACAGTTTCTTTTTTGGTACTGGGGATCAAACTTGGAACCTTTCACTTGTGAGGCAGGCGGCGGGACCATTGAGCTAAGTCCCCAGCGCCCCTACAGTTTCTTTTTACTCCTTCTTGAAGTCATCAGTGTAAAAGCACAAATGAAGAAGTCCATTTCCTCTTTCTCTCATGTTCATAAAAATCCCAAAGAAGCCTGACTGAATTTTTTAGTGACTTCATACTTACTGCTTTACACAAAACCACAAAACAAAACTAGAGCTCAATAGTTATTATAGTTTAGCTAGACAAAAGACAATTCCCTGTCATGGATCATATTTTAACCCAAACACACTGCTAGTTATTTTTCAGGGAGGCCAGGAAGCGTGAATCTCAAGCATTCCAACCTGGCCTAGGAAAGCCTGGTGCCTGAAACGCCATGGGTTCAACTGAAACTTCCCAAAGATTATGGCTTGTTTAGATGTCCCCCCAAAGCCTCATGCTGTCTTAGGTGGGGATTTTCAAAGGCTGGATCTAGAATGTGTGATTGATTCATGGTGCAATGCTAGGCTTGAGAGCACTAGGATTAATGGTGTGAGTGCTACCTGCCCTAAGCAGTCTGAATAAGATAAAAGGGGCAGAAAGCCGCTGTTAAGGTCTCTTGCTTTTGCTGCCTTTTGACACCATGAACTGTGGCCCCTCTGCCACCCTGCCTTGGAGCCAGCCAATTATGGACTGAAACCTCTAAGAACTGTAAGCTAAGTAAACCTTCTCCCTTTAACTTTGGGTGTCGGGTATTTTGTCTCAGCAACAAGAGAAACGTAACACACTGAACATGACATCTGACAGCCCCCGAGGCTGAGGGCTCTCCAGATCTGACTGGCACAGAGAAACCTTTCCCAAAGCTTTCTGAAAACTCTCAACGCACGTAGCTCCCTGTTATGGGAAACATCAGAATAGTTTACAACGAATAAAAAACACCAAAGTGCAATGTAGGAGGCCAATGTGTATTGCTAAGGAAGGGCTACGTACTCTCTCAAAAAGCAATGTTTTCTCGTCTCCGTTGATCTCTATTTTATGTAAGGAGATAAGATCCTCACACATTTCACTGAATAAAATTAGTTCTCAGAGGTAAGAATATTTTGGCCCATGCATCTGGATCTCGCTTGGAGGAAGTATTGGTTTATCCTTTTTTGTTCCTTGCCTAGCAAAGTCACTGTGGTATTGCTACCTGGTAAGGGAAGGAAATGATAGTTGATGTACCAGATCAGAAAGAAAATTCTGTTTCATTCACTTGGCAATCTTCCATCCAATAAATATACTTTGGGTACCTACTTTGTGCTAGCTCTAAGTAAAGGAAGTACAGCTGTAAATAATACTGCCCTCACAGGCCAGATAATTTAATGTAGACGCAAGAGCACTTAATATAAGCTCTGGAAGTGAGCAATGATGAGAAGAAAAACAAAGCAGGTTAAGTGGGGTAAGCAGCTAAAGGCCTGACTAGGACTCAGGGGTGTCACAGGCTGTGCCATTTAAGAGGTCAAATGAAGGGAGGGAACTATTATTAGTTGCACCTAGGATTTGGAAGAAAAAACAAAAACAAACCAAAGCAAAACAAAAACAATCTTAATTGGTTAAGATACTGTTTCAAAGTAGCATCATACTAATTTACTTTATCAGAATTTCTCCTAAGAAAAATGGGTGGGAATGATTTCTCATAAAAAAATAAAAATAAAAAAATAAGTGGAGGGCCGGAGATTTAGCTCAGTGGTTCCAGAGCCTGGCCCTCCAAGCCCAAGCCCAGTTCATCTCTGTACTGGGGATGGGGGGTGGAGGGCTATCACAACCAGTAGCAAAAACAACCTAAAGAAATGCAAATTGGTGGTGGTACCCAACTATAATCTCAGCACTTTGGGAGATGGGAGGCAGGAAGATCACTGCAAATGCAAGGCCAGCCTGAACTACACAGCAAGACCCTGTCCCCACCCCTACCCAAAACGCAAATTCTATTGCGAGCAATGGGTATTTGCAAATGGACAAATTTCTTTGTATTCTGTTAATGTTGTTTTGTTATATTTGTAACACACTAAAAACAGCAAGTGTGGCAGAAACAGTCCAATATCCAGTGTCCTTTCTTCCTTAGTAATAATCCCTGGGTTTTTCTCTGATAATGAATGAACTAAGACCTTCTGGCAAAAAGACTACATTTCCCAGCCTCCCTTGGAGTTGGTCAGGCAATTATGTTGGAGCCAATGGATTGGGGGCCGAATTGTCTTTCAGGAAATAACCCTAAAGGGAAGAGTGTGGGAGCCTGTCTTTATCCTTCCTTCTCCTTGCTAGTGACAATGCTGAACTTCACTGAACCCTATGATCCTAGAAAAGAGGGAAGGTTCAGAACCCTGCTCCAACCTGTTTACTACAAAAAAATCACCTTTACCTATAGGGCTTGGATAAAACTCATGGTCTACATAAGACATAGGCAAAACATGCTCTACAAATGCCTACTCTTCATTTTAGAAATGTTTGGCTAAACTGCTTGCTCTGGGTGAGTAATCAGAATGAAATGCTTGTTAAACAAACTGGTCAAGCATCTTCTTTCCTCTAGGTCTTTGAACTTTGGACTACTCTAAGCCCCTGTGAGCAGACTGCCCCTCCAGCTGGCCTCAGGGAACACTGTTATCTGATCTACTAGCCCTGAGGCATCCTTCACTCCTTTCCAGGAACTCTTTCTAGTCTACCCTGTAAAAGAAAAATCCCCTCTGCCTAACTGGGGAGGAAGGCAGGTCCTGCACTCAGAGCAGCCTCCCTGCTGTAATATGAGCAGTCCCCTGATCTGTGGTTTTACTTTCCAAGGTTTCAGTTATTCTCAGTGAACCGAGTATAAAAATACAACATGGAAAGTTCCGAGAATAAACAATTCATTAGTTTTAACTTGTTCGCCACTCTGAGTAGCATGACGAACTCTAGGGCCACCCGCTCCCTCCTGCCTGGGCGTGAACCATCTCTTTCTTTGTCCAGCGTGTCTCCACTTTGTACCTGACCAGCCCCTTAGTCACTCAGTAGCCATCAAGGTTATTATACCACCTGTGGCAGTCGGTACGCCAGTACTTGTGTTCAAGTAGCCTTACTTACTTAATAACAGCCCTGAAGGACAGAGCAGTGATGCTGGCTGGGGTCAGTCTGACATGCCAAAGAGAAGCCGCGAAGTGCTGCGTACACACACAGGCTCTGTGCTATCTGAAGTTTCAGGCATCCACTAGGTGTCTTGGCTCCTCTCCCCTGGACAATCGGGGACTACTGTGGTTCTCCTCCCCCAGCATGAGTCCCTTTCCATGCCCTAAAATACTCTTTGTAAACAACGCTCCTTATAAAAATGCCCTAGCTCAGTGGTTCTGTCACCTGCCTCGCAAGCACAAGGATCCAAGTTCGATCCCGGTACCAAAAAAAACAAAGCTATTCTCAAACAACTCTCCTTACCAAGTCACAATTTACTTTTTATTTGACACTGGCTAGAACATGGTGTGACAGGTAGAGTTGACTTCGCCATGGTGGAGGAGGAGACAAAGGCAGAGGTAGGGGAGCAGCAGGAGGAGGGAACTAAAAGGAGCTAAGCTTCTACTGACTTTGCGATGCTACCAGCCAAAGACTGCCAGCTTCCAAACTTCATTCATGCTGAGAAAATAAATCCTCTGTAATTTAAGATCTGTCACTTGAGGTCATCCACCCCACAAATTCTTTCCTAATCCTCACTGCCACAGCAGCTGGAGGAAAGCTACCCACAGAAGGCCAGGCCCCCAGAACTGGGACAGTGCTGTGTGGTCCAGCCTCTTCCCTACTTCCTCATGGCTAGGTGCTACTCCCATGCTTGACGTGACACTTGGTACACAAGCAGATCAAAAGGAACAGCACCAAAAGAAAATCTATAGGTATCTTTTTTCAGCTGCCTCAAAATGCCACTGAAGGAGTTCCAGAACATTAGCCTGGAAAAGACCCTGAAGATCATTTTATCCTGAGTCCTTTATAGTGTTGACAGGGCTGCTGTGACCTAGAGATGCCAAAGGAGTGATCCCAGGACAAAGAACCTCTCAGGACAGAGCAAGAGCTGAGCCAGGTCTCCAGATACCTGCAGCCTGACAATTTCACTTGATGATGCTATTGCGACAGCTGAAGAAACAACCAAAGTCACTGAGCTGCAGCTCAGGTCTTCAAGGGGCAGAGTATGACACTAGGGGGAAAGTGACCTCTTCCCCCTGAAATTCTAGCCACAAGAAAAAGCTGGACCTGCTCCCGCGACAGCTGGGAGATGCTAACAGGTCAACAAGGTCTAAAGAGAGAAAAATGAGTGAGTGCCTGGGTGACTTTACCTCATCTTCGCTGCTGTCTGGAGGAAGGCAGACGTGAGTGATGTTCAGACCAGCCTGGAAGGGAACACAAGGCCACCTGTCACTATCAGAGAATATATTCTGTGAGGAATTAGAAAGCATTTGTGAAAGCCAGTGGTCCTCACCTCCTCAGCCAAATTCTGGTTTATTTCCTGCATTAAATTTTCATCACCTGCCTTAGGAGAAAGAAGAAATAGGAAGTATGTAACAATATGAACTTGTCTTGAAAAAGCACAAAATATTATACAGGGTCTGAATTTTGCAATTACAAATTATCTAATTACAAAGATGATAAGGAAAACACAAAATAAATCTCATTGCTTGTAAAAAAGGGATCAATAATTGATGTTAAAACATGAATTTCAAATCATGTCACCTTTTAAAAATAGTACCCCACATTTAAAGGCACTGCCAGCAGGAGTGATGGAGCACACTTGTAATTCTAGCACTACGAGAATCTGAGGCAGGAGGGTCACAAGTTCAAGCCCAGCTTGGGCAATTTGGTGATATAGAAGAGACCCTATCTCAAAATTTTAAAAAAGGACTGGGGATGTAGCTTAGTGCTAAGGTCGTGTTCAATCCCCAGTACTAAAACCAAAACCAGAAAAATATCACCACATAGCCAGCATCCCTGTCTATGTGAGAACACAGAAAAGAGGACTACAAATGGTTTGCCCTCAAGTGCAAAGTCAAAGGGTGAGCATATTCTTCCCAGGAAACCCAGCTGCCAATTCAGTTCGCCTCTCCTACTCTATCTGGCCTTTCTCCGTCAAGAGATGTGGATCACACCCCAAGGAATGTAAGCAACACAAGCACAGCTCTACAGTCACCGATGGGTGCAGAGGCTGCCGTTTTGATGCGCTGAAGGCAGGCCAACACTGCCATAGTAATCCAGCTGCTGGGCTGTCAGCCTCCATGCTTGGCTCGCCTCAGCACTTCCCTGCAACTGCCACCACACAGGTGCCAACAATGATGGCAACAGTGCCAACAGCAGCTCAGCATGAAAGGGCTGCAGCCAAAACATGTACGAAGTCCTTCTGACAGATGTACAAAGTCCCTTTGGCAAGCAGACTGCAAAAGACAAGGTAAAACGATTACCATGCGCCCACGTGTGGTCTGTCCTCCCTAACAGAACCACAGGGGGGCTTTTGCTCCTATCACCTTCAAACTGCATTTGATAAGCTTTTATACGTGCACACAGGCCACTGTCTATCCTGTGTTATGCAATTTCTGTAGTGCCTGCCTCCTGACCTCTGGGAGCCCCTAACACCTGCGAGAGGACACACAGGCCAAAGCTGGCCCAAAGCACTGAGGAAGCCAATGACCAAAGAAAGGCAAGTGACAATGCTTCTGGCAGGATCCACTGTTCCTTGACAAGAAATACAGCTGGCCTTTTGTTTACAAGTATTTTCTACACGGAAAATCTTCCTCAAATAGTAGGACTGCATTGCACTCAGCTTACCTGAATAATAGCAAGAACTGGCTTAAATGCAGGGTTTTTTTCTTGCAACAAATGTAGAACTTCTTTTGAATTCTGAATGACTTCTCTACAGGGAGAAAGACAAATGACATAGTTATTTCTTTATTAGGGAGTAGAAAGGATGGGTATAACACATTTTCTTACGTTTGTTAACAGAAATGAAAATAATTAAACAACAAAAGGAGACACTGAAAGTAGAGAATGGTGAAGAGAAGCAAGACAACAGTGACACAGAATGTCAAATGCAACAATCCAATGTTTAAAATATGCAGTGAGAAACAAGCTAGACGATAACAGTAATTTCCTAGAGGTGAATTTTACTCTTGTATTTTCAAAGTTTCCTATAATGAAAAATTTAGGTTTCTATGTTTAAAAACCCCATTCCTTTGCCATACTCTCCTTTTCCTCCTTAAAAAACAAGTCTGAGGTCTACAGGGACAGAAAGCAAGCACACAAAGGGAGAGGATGTGAAGACAGAGGGCTGGAAGGAGGCTCGATGACTGACAGGTGGTGCATCTGGTAGATCCCCGGTCCCAGAGTTAAAGGGGGAGCTGAAAGAGGAGGAGCCAGGGCTGGAAAGGTAAGCTGTGCAAATGGGATGCAGGGACTTTGACAGCACTCCAAAGGCCTCTTTGGGAAGAGTTCACCGTTTAGGACAACACAATCTGTGTGTCTCCGTCCCACAGGCCCAACACTGGCCACCTTCCCCATGGCACTCCTGGAGGGAAGAGGTCCCTAGCCCAGCAACTGAAATGAAGAGACACTTTGCAGAAGTACAAATGGCCAATAAACAGACGAAAAAGTGTTCAACATCTCTGACCATCAGAGAAATGCAAATTAAAACAACCCGGAGATCCCACCTTACTCCAGAAAGAAAGGGCTATCATCAAGAAGTCAGATAACAACAAATGCTAGTGAAGCTGGGGAGGTTGACGGGACCCTTCTTCATTGCTGGTGGGAATGTAAACTAGGACAACCACTATGGAAATCAGTGTGGAGAGGCCTCAGAAAACTGAAATAAGAAATTCCATTTGATCCAGCTAGTCCCGTCCTAGGTATCTTCCTGAAAGAGTTAAAGTCACTATACTAGTGGTACATGTATACCCACGTTTGTAGCAACAAAATTCACAACAGCTAAGTCTTGGAACTGGCCTATATGTCCATCAATATACAGATGAAGGGATAAAGAAAATGTTTTATACACAATGGAGTACTATTCTGCCATAAAAGGTAAATTTGAGTAATTTGTAGGAAAATGGATGCACCTTGAGACCATGATGTTAAGTGAAATAAGACACACAAGCTTCAATATCATATGGTTCCTCTTCTATGAGAAATTATAAATAAAGAGCAAAATAAAAGATAATAGGAAAAAATTTAAAACATGGAAGAGGAAAAGGAAAATAAAAAGTACACTAGCCCAGGTACACAGGCCTAAACAAACATGGTCAGTGGCCCTTTCTGGAGCTTTCTGGATGGGTGATTTCAGAGGTATCTTCAGCACCATCACCCTTATAAAGTGTTCTCACTAGCACACAGACAACAGAATCAAGCTGCTTTCCTTTCTCTCTTCTCTTGCCTTCCTGCCCACCCCCCACCAGCCCCCCATAAAAAGCTCACCCAAGGCTGTACTCAACTTCAGTGCTGAGATCATCGTCAGGGAAGAAGACTCTTACCCGCAGTGCTGGGGATTGAACCCTGGGCCTCAAACATGCTAGGAAAGTGCTTTACCAGTGAACTACATCCCCAGTCTCAGACCATCTTTAAACAACATCATTTTCAGTCTCCAGCAAGTTCTTACACACACGGAACAGTTTTCAAAGAAATGCAAGGGGGAGTTCTGTCAGGTCCCCTCAGAATTTAGTCCCCAAGAGCAGAACACCTTCCAGTTTTCAGAGAGGTAGTTGAGGACTTGGACCAACAGGAACCATAGCCCCTAGCCAAAGAGGGTTAAGTGTACTTAAAGGCTTCAAAACTCACACCAGGACCAGCCTTTCCACTGTCACTGGGCAGACTCAGTGGCAGGCAACAGTGTAAAACCCGTGAGCAGTTCTGTTTTGTGTATGTGTGTGTTGTTGTTGTTGTTGTTATTTTAAACTCTTGCAATAAAGTAACTTAATTCCTAGCAAAATATTATTGCGACGAATGAATGTGATCGAGTAGGAAAGTTTACAAATCACCTAATAAGTGGGCACTAAAATCCATCTGTTCAGGGATGGATGACTGAGGTCTCCCAGCCTGGCAGGGCTGCTGGTTAGGGCCACGCTATTCTTTCTGCCTGGTCTGGGAAGGCACTGGAGTATGGGTCCCAAGCAGTCCTTGGCGTGAGAATCACCTGGGAAGTTTGATAGAAATGAAAGTGTCCATGCCTTCCCCCAGATTCACGATGTCAGGGTGGCACCCAGGAACGTGCCGTTTTGACCAGGCATCCATGTAGCTCTGGAGCAGACAGCGGAGAAACAGCCAGGCCTGGCACTTAGGCCTTCGGCGGACCAGTTCGGGCAACTTACTTGGTCTCAATGGACCCCTGCTTCCTTATCTTTAAAACAAGTGTGTTTCGGGCCCAGAATTTAGCTCAGTGGCGCCACCCCTGCCTCACAAGCGCAATGTCCTGAGTTTGATCCCCGGTACCGAAAAACAAAACAAAACAAAAAACAAGTGTGCTCCATCTTTCAACTATTTGGCATAGTTTTTTTCCTGTGAGGCAAAGCTACTCTGAAACACTCAAACATTCATACCCATAGCAATAATTTCCCCAGAAACATGTATATTCACCTCCAATAAAATGAAAAGAACACTTCAACAGCGAAGTCAGCAATAGGTAAAAGGTAATCAGAGTTTTAAAATAGCTGAGGTGTAGGGGATAGGAAATATAAAAGGTAAAATATAGGATAAAATTGTTCCACATTGTAACTCACAAAGCTAATAAATAAAATTGTCTCCTGCTTCCCACAACTTGTACTTAGCGTAATGTTTCATTATTTGGGTTTACTTATTATTCTTACAATGATAAGCAAAGCAAGTAGGAAAAGGCACCAGGCTCAATAAATCTAAAAAGTAGCATAAAGGTTTCTAATCCGAGGTTTTTATGTTCCTGGGGGAGAAGAATGGCTTTGTCATCTCCAATCTGCTAGGATCAGTGGGGAGGAAAGTGTGACTGTTGCTGTGCTGTGGTAGGGTAGCTAAAACTCAGAATTCCATTATTAAAGGTCATTTAATAATATTACAAGCCATCACCACCAGCTTTATTAGTACTGGTACACTGGATCTCTTACCATTATTACCACCACCCACTGGCTTATCCCTCCTGGCTGATTGTGTAAGAAGTGTGTTTGATGGGCACAAAGCAACCTTGCAGTAGTGACCACATTCCCTAGGCTCCCTCGTGGCTAGCTGCGTCCACCACTAAGAGTCAGGGAGGAAGCAGCTGGTCGTGAAAACTATCAGTGTAAGCATATCCCTGAACACTGAGCCTGCGTATTAATATTTTACATTTTTAAATTCTCAAAAATTTCAAAGGTAAAAGAGGTACTCTTCCAGAAGTACAGCAAAGATCTTCAAAGCAGCCTCTTCCAAAAATAACCAGTGATGTTCAGGTGAGCAATGCAGGCCAAAAGCAGCAGCAAGCAGTTTAATAACCCAGGGCACTAGCAATTAGTAGATACATTCAATTTAACAGTATCAGTAAAAACAAATAAACAAGCAAACAAACAAACCCAGTAAGAGTAATAATCACAAAGAAGCTGGGCACTTCCTTTAGACAGTACTTCCATATTCTTCTTCTTTATGAGAAAATCCTGAGTTTTAGCTGCACATGATCAGCTAGCTAGAGATTTCCCAATCTCACCTGCAGCTTCATGGGGTCGTGTAACTAACTTCTGGCTAGTGGAAAGAGCCAAAGATTGCGCAGGTTGGAGGAATGTGCAATCTAGCCCCTTTCTCCCTCTTGCTGGCTGGGAAGGCAGGAGACCAGAGCAGAGGTCTTTTACCCACAGCTAGAAAGCAAGTAGCATCAGAGGTCATCCTGCCTTCCCCGGACTCTCCTCTGGAGGGTATTTTGGGCACTGCTGTGGCTTGAATATGTCCCTCTAAGTTCATGTGTTGGAAACGTAACCCCAGTGTTAGCGTTGAGAGTTGGGACCTTCAGGAAGAAACTGGGTAGGAGGAGAGAGGCCCTATGAGTGGTAAGGGATGTTATAGTGGGAGCAGGCAACTGAGGAAAGGATGCGTTTCTCCACCCCACCCTTCTGCCTTAGGCCACAGTACACTGCAGCAGGAAGGCCCCTGCCAGATGCTGGCACCTTGATACTGGACTTGAACTATGAGATAATAAATTCTATCATTTATAAATTACCCAGTCTGCAGTACTGTGCCTTAGCCGCAAAAAATGGACTAAGACGGGCATCTATTAGAGCAGCCTGACCCATTTCCTACTTCACAAGCCTGAGCTGAAGACCTCATATACTCTATTCCACCAAATCTGAGGCAGACAAGAGACAAACCATTCTTTAAGGAATCATTAAGAAAAAAATGCAGCAAGTTAAAATATGGCATAACCTTTATTTTATATTAGCAGATTATTTTAGGCCTATTTAACATAGAATTTTTCTTATAAAGCCACTCATAAATACATAAAAGATATATAAAAGAGAAAACATAAGAAATTGAGACTAAAACTTCACATTCAGAATCTGACGCTTCTGTATGACAAATCCTTGTATTTTTGTCAATTTTTGTTTTCTTTTTTTTGGTGCCAGGGATTTAACTCCGGACCTTGTGCTTGCAAGGCAGGTGCTGGAACCACTGAGCTAAATCCCTGGCCCCTATTTTTTGTTTTCTATCACCTCTGTCAAGAGTCTTGAAAAATAAAATAAAATAAAAGAGTCTTGGTGTGCCGGGCATGGTGGTGCACACCTGTAATCCCAGCACTCAGGAGGCAGAGGCAGGACAGCCTCGAGTTCCAGGCCAGCGTAGGCTACATAGTGAGTTCAGGGACAACCTGAACTACAAAGCGAGACCCTGCCTCAAAAAAAAAGTGTTGGTGATGTGATATTTCTCAATGTTATG